TAATGTACAAGCCATCTAGATGGGTGTGCTAAGAACATCAGAGACACTAAGTGAGAAAGCAATGAAGTGGGAAGAAAAAAAAGGAGTGAAGGGAACCTGTCAAAAATGCACCTTCATCACTACACCAGGTTGCTATGCTGTTGTAGAACAGGAACGCAATTATCGCAGCATAGGTTGAAACCATCAGAAAGCCTGAAAATACACAAAAATGTATTTCCTTCAAATCGTAATATACGAGTATTTTACAACTCAGAAATTCCTGAGTTGACTAATAAAAGCAGCTTTTTCTGGGATCCTCAGACTGAACATTGTAATTATGGTGGGATCATCTCCTCAAAAGTTTTGCCTCTCCTGATCCTTTCTTTATAATTTTTAGTGTTAAATTTATATTCATTGTTATAGTAGTGTTACTAAAAAGCACAAACATCCAGAATGATAGTGTAGAAAAAACATTTTCAATAACACTATGGAAGAGTTTTCTCTCTGTCTTAAAGACAACTACATCATTCAACTTCGGCCTCTCAAGGATCAACCTCAAAACCAGCTCAACACTAAGAAGCTATCTAACCTCAGACAAGTTCCTTAACATATGCATCCATTTCCTCACATAAAAATATGGGGCTACTTGTTTTACAATGTATTCTGTTATTTGGAGTTTTAAATAAATATGTTTACTATTTTAGCATGATGCCCAAACAGGGTAAATGTTGCATAAATATATTTGATCATTATCATTACAATTTTTATTTTCATTATTTCAGATTCTCTCCAACAACAATCATGTTGCCAGCTGAAGGAAATCAAAGTCCTGCAGACACATTCACTCTCTTGGGCTTCTCAGAATATCCAGACTTCCAGGTGCCCCTGTTCCTGGTATTCCTGACCACCTCCACAGTCACTGTGCTGGGGAACTTGGGCATGATCATTATCTTCAGGATCAATCCCAAACTCCACACCCCCATGTATTTTTTTCTCACCCACTTGTCCTTTGCTGATTTCTGTTACTCAACTACAGTTACACCCAAACTGCTGGAGAACTTGGCTGTGGAAGACAGAACCATCTCCTTTATGGGATGCATCATGCAATTCTTCTTGGCTTGTATATTTGCAGTGGCAGAAACATTCATGTTGGCAGTGATGGACTATGACAGATTTGTGGCCATTTGTAATCCTCTCCTCTATACAGTTGTCTTGTTCCCAAAGCTCTGTGTGTCATTAGTGGCCAGGCCCTACGCATGGGGTATAATCTCCTCCCTGACACCAACCTGTTTCCTCTTGGCATTATCCTTCTGTGGGTCTAACATCATGAATAATTTTGTCTGTGAGCACTCAGTCATTGTCTCTGTCTCATGCTCTGACCTCTACATCAGCCAAGTGCTTTGTTTTGTCATCGTCATATTCAATGAGGTGAGCAGCCTGGTAACTGTCCTCACTACTTATATTTTTTCTTTGTCACTATCATGAAAATGCCTTCTGCTGGTGAGCACCATAAAGATTTCTCTACCTGTGCTTCCCACCTGAGCACCATCACCATTTTCCATGGGCCTGTCCTGTTCCCCTATTGCATACCCCACTACAAAAACTCATGGCTCATAGTCAAAGTAGGTTCTGTATTTTATATGGTGGTCATTCCCATGCTCAACTCTTTGATCTACAGCCTTGGGAACAAAGATGTGAAAGACACAGTCAGGAAGTTAATGAATTACCCAGCACAATTTTGTTGAAGATTTATATTCCCAAAAGGAACCTGATTTATTATATTGACTAGTCAATATTTATAATACTTTAACTAGTGACGATGATTCAAATGATTTAGTCAGTTCACCAGTCAGATATTTAAAACTCTTGGAATAGATTAGTTTTTTGTTCACCTCAGCATTTAACAGAATACCTGAGAACCATATGTGAAGTAACACAAGTGTTGTGTATTGAGCAGTGTCCTCTACAATATTTATGTCTACCTAAAACATCAAAAGTGGCCTTATCTGGAAATAGGATCTTTGCTCTTGTAAATAAGGTAAGGATCAAGATGAGATCATAGTGAATTAGGGAGGGCCCTAAATCCAATGAGTGTGTCCTTATGAGACAGTAAAGGACAATACAGAGACACAGGGAAGAGGCCAAATGAAAATGGAAGCAGTTTGGATTATTGCTGCCAGAAGCCAGGGGCAAGGAAGGATTCTCCCCCAGTGCCGTCAGAGGTAGTGTAGCCCTGCCAGCACCTTGATTTCAGACTTCAGGTCTTGAGAACTGTGAGAATATACATATGTCTTGTTTTATGCCTCCAGTTTGTCATAATTTGTTGTGACATCTCTGGAAAGCTTATGCAACCGGTGAATATTAGATCATAAAACCTACAAATCTTGATATGTATTGGCATGGTAAATAATTTTTAGATACTCCTTAATTTCATTTTAGCAATGAGAATGTCAGCGTTACAGAGGAAATCTGAAAAGCCATAGCTGAGTAGGAGTGTGGAGTAGAGTATGGTAGAATTAGTAACACGAGACTATCCCTAAGATTCTACCAAGTTCTTTATTCCTTTCTCCTGTACTGTAAATATATGTAGGAAGTGATATTAAACATGCTATCTGTAAACATCAAGTAAAAAATGTTGATATTTTGAGATTTTCCTGAAAGATTACCAAGGGGAAATAAATGAAAAATTCAGTTATTAATCTCATGGATCTAACAATCTGATTTGTCAAACTTGTTTCTGCAAATACTATTTACTAACACAGGGGGTATCATGATAAACCTTAAAAATAGTTTGAGTAATCCTGGTTTTGCTTTATAATGTTAATCTCTAGTTAATTACACATTTTACCTGCAATGAATAGTTTTGTTTGCCAGTCTAATATGGAATGGTTGTGACTGCTCTGATAGAAATACAAATGCCCTCCAAACTTATTATTCATGAGTTTTGTTTAAACTAGTGACTGACTCAGTTAGAAAAAAAAAAGTAAAATGTTATCTCTGTGACTCTCTTGCTAATTGTGGTTTGTGTGAGACACATTCCCCTGGACACGCAATGTATAGACACCTGAGATTATTGCACTACATGAATTAATTAAATATTAATTGTTTCTCCAGAGTAAATGTGTTGAACTCAAAAAAAAATCTTTTAACTTTATGTCGTATTATGAATGTATACCGCTAAATCGTGCCTTAATATCTGAGCTGATAGACAATTATAAAACATGAAATAAACCAATATTTTCCTTTTTACCTTGCCTTAGTTGTAAACCAGGAATCACATATAACTTTACCATTATTCTGGGCAATTGCTCTATCAATCATTTTCCAAATAATGCAAAACATAGTTTATTCAACTTGGCAAATAAAACAAACAATTTCTGTTTTAATTCTACCTCAGAAGATTATGTGCTTCTGTATGTGTATGTGTGTGTGTGTGTCTTAGTGAGTGTGCTGTTGTCTTATTGAAGGATACAAAATATATACCCATCCTGTCCCAACACACTTATGACAAATTAAGCTTTGTCAATCATTACCTTTTGGAATGAATTAGTTTATGACATACTTTGTGATACATTGGCTTGAATACATATGGAGAAAGGATGAACTCTCTATGATTTGGGGTTTATGAATAGGAGAGACAAAAACGTGATGAAGGATGAAATAGAAAAAGTCAGGAACAAAAAAGCTTGAGTATATTTATTTTTAATTTAGCAGAATATCTTACTAAATCACCAGAATTTCCATCAATTCAAAGGGAATCAAAGTTGATGGTTTTTTTTATCCTTTAATATATGTGAAAATCATCTGGGGGTCTTGTAAAATTAGATTTTGGTGTGGTGGAACTGTGGTGGGGCCCAGGAGTCTGCATTTCTATCAGACATCGAAATGATGCCGCTATTACTGTCCCTTCAAACACATTCCCAAGCTGTTGAAAACCTGGTCATGGCGGATCAGAGCATCTTCTACTTGAGCTGCATGTTGCAGTATTTTCTATCCTGCACAGCTGTAGTGACCAAGTCCTTCCTGCTGGTAGTGATGGCTTTTGACTGCCTCGTGGCCATCTGTAATTCTCTGCTTTACACAGTGGCCATTCCACAGAGTCTCTGTGACCTGGTGGTGGCTGGGTCATATCTTTGGGGTGTGACTGGCCCCTTGGTACTCCTTTGCTATGCTCTCCATCTAAACTTTTCTGGACACAATGTGATCAACCACTTTTTCTGTGAGTACACCACTCTCATCGCTGTGTCGAGCTCTGATGTTCACATCCCCCACCTGCTGCTTTTTGCCTTTGCCACCTTCAATGAGGTGAGTACACTGCTGGTCATCCTCACACCCTACATTTTCATTCTTGTGGCTGTACTAAAAATCCGTTCTGCCAGCAGGCGTCGCAGAGCCTTCTCCACCTGTGCCTCCCACGTGACCATCATCACCATCATCCACGGGACTGTCCTTGCCCTTTACTGCGTGCCTAATTCCAAAAACTCTCAACAAACGGTCAAAGTGGCCTCCATATTTTACACAGTCATCAATCCCATGCTGAACCCTCTGATCTACAGTGTAAGGAATAAAGATGTGAAGGATGCCTT